ATCTTGGTTTGTAGGCCCAGATCCAGTGGTTTGGCTGGGGTAAACTTAGATGGCATGCTCTTCTTTCCTTCTTGTCAGGAATAGCAGCCGGGGTGTCCTGTTTCACTGACCTGTCTGCAATCAACCAGACACGCTGGTGGAGATCTGGCCTTCTGGGTGAAAAGTGGGATGGCTACCTTTGTCTTTGTTATGATGGGGTGTCCAGTACTTGACACTCACATTGAATTGCACAGTACTCTACTGTTTCTTTCTGATGAAGTTCATTTTTCCCCCTTGGGTAATGATGGTTGAAAAACAATTTGCTGTATGTATGAGAGTCTTAAACTCCAGCAGTGGTCAAATTTTATATTTATTTTAATTCATTATAAGATTGTTTGACATAACACTGTTAAACAATAAAAGGTTATGAAGTCAGGGTTGTAACTACGAAGATGTCTGGCAACAATGATAACAATCGAAGCATATCTGAAACACAGAAAAAATTATTAATATCATCTTGACTCTAATAAACTCTCAACATCTGGCCTGGCTTAGTTTCAAGCCCACTCACCACGTCAAGGTGCAGGCAGGGAGTGGGGACATAGGACAAGACACGCAGAAGGACACAAGGATATTTCTAATTGTCTTGTCTAGTTGTAAACCAAAATGGTGCTTGCAACTCCGTTCTGCTATGTGGCAGAAGTAGTCCATAAAAAGGTAAACAGAAATCAACTATAGCATAATGAACAAATGTCACTTTTACTTAATATGTAAACATAATAGATAAGGAAGATAAGGAAACAGCACTACTAATGATGGAAAAGTATTAATTTGCTCATCCTCCTTCTTACAAGAGCTCCAGTGATTGTTTCGGTTTCTCTTTTTGCCAAATGATGCAGGCATATTTTGCAGTACATGGAGGCTGCCATCTTAACCAAAATGTGAACATGATTGTCCACAACACTGGTTTCAAACATGTGGTTGTGCAACTCAGAGAACAGATTCTTTTCTGCACAATCACACTGAACTTGAATGACAATGGACGATGTGACTCCTTTTCCCTGAGGAAGCTTTCCACCACTGTTGTTAAGTAGTCTTTGGAAGCAACGTTCAGTAGCTTTGCAGACCTCAACAATGCTTGTTGATGGATTTGTTAAGCCTCCTCTGTTCTTCAAGGCTACAAAAGCATGAATGTTAGCATCCGAACCTAGTGCAAGACTACAAGGCATGCACAAGATGTTCTCCTTCATCTTTCTCACGACAAAGCCAGCAATATAATGTATAGCGGCGTCTTTAAATTCCGAGATGCAGTCCACATATTGGTAGACACTGTAGTTATGGTCAGAATCCAGGGGTGGTACTGGTGTAATGTCAAATTTCCAAGAAGCTGACCCAACCATCACTGCCAACATGTTGGTGCCATCTCTTATGAGACAGTTTCCAGTGCCATTCTTCACCTGATGCCTCACCAGAAGACGTTTGTAAGCTGCTTTCAAACTGTCTGGCTGTTGGGTTGTCGTTATAGCCTCCACAGGCCCGAACAGCAGAAAAGAAAAGCTTGAGATGATCTTGGCTGAATTTGTAGTTGAGGAGGTACCTGCAAGGTGCACCCTGTGTTTCAACCAGCTCTTGAAAGATGTTTGAAATGCTTCTACAGCTGGCAATAAACCCAATCAAGCCTGTTTTCCTGGGACCTGTGTGCACATGTTTCCCTGTGCTGTCTCTGAGCTGTAAGAGGAAATTTTCAGCTCTCTCCAAGAGACTGTGAGTGTGAAGTCTATTTGAACTCTTTAGAGGAGCTTTGGAACCCTTTGCCACAGGGTTTCTGCTGTTGAGAACATCAAATGCTAAATCTATTGTTCTCAGGAATTCAACGGTCTCCTTCGAACCCTGAAACTGAGGCAAGTGAAGTTCCTTGTTACAGTATTCAAGAGCATCAGCGACACTGCTGCTAAAAACTTGAGCAGCAAGATTGACCTTCATCTTCTGGTTTCTCCATTTAACGTGGGCCATCTTCAGTTTATTGCCAAGCTTCAAGCCCTCTATCTCCTGGAGTTTGTTTAGGTCCTCAAGGTACTGCCACTTAATTTCTTTGCCACTGCCTATCTGGAAAATGCATCCATCTGCAAAAGTATTCCTCAAGAGTTTGAGCATGTGACAGACATCAAAAACTACATGCACAACCTGCATTAGGTCTGCAGGGTGAGGAAATGATGGTCTCATGTTGTCAACTTTGAGATTGGCTCCAAGAGCCTGCATCATGGCAAAGTGGCAAGACGGTCCATCACATGTGAGTGTAACGACACGCACTCCAATGTCATGCAGCTTATGAAGACACTGAGAGATGATGTTAGCTCGCTCTTCTCCACTTAAACCATCCACTAGAAAATAAGCAATAGGGATTTTCCAAGACGCATTGATAGCTACTACCATAAGGACCAATGCATCCTTGGCTACTGGCAATGAGTCATCCACTTTACCACAGCCTAAATCTAAATAACCATAAAATTTTCCTTCAGCATATTCCACATGCTTTAATAGCCATCTCATCCATCATGAGAGCACAAATGGTCTCCTTACCTATCTTCCTTCCTCCATGTGGGATTGGAGGGCAGAAAATGATGCCTCCGTAAAGCCAGGCTCTGCAGGAATGCTGCTGTACCATCATCTGATTGTTTGAGGATGAGGAACACAATTAAAGCTTTCACAGACAAACTGGTAGGCTTTGGCAGAGTAGAAATGGAAAGGCATAGCAAAAGACCTTAGATGATCTGAGATTCTGGCAGATTTACTCCTGCACTTTGCCCTAGTAAGGATTTCTTTTGCAACTCCTTCAAACGAAGCCTCCAGCATAACTCCACAGCTAGTGGAAACAAGCAACTGTTTTTTGATATCAGCAATAACTGAAGAGAGAGATTTTACCTTCTTTTTCAGTCTTCTTACTCTCTGGTGTCGAAGCCTCAGTCCCCTCCTGCAAGAAAACAATTTATTTTGAACAAGTGAGACCTTCCTCTTAAGATGTCTAGGGGAGTTTTCCACTTCCACTTACTATGAGCGTAGTTATGGTCACTGGGAACATGGTTATGGTGACTGGCTCCATCCATCTCAATAATCATTGGCTCTTGATGGTGAGCGTAGTTGTGGTCACTGTGAGCCTGGTTATGGTCACTGCAAGCACGATTATGGTCACTGCGAGCGTAGTTATGGTCACTATGGTGGTGGTCATTCGTGAGAACAGTGAGTGCAATAGCTTGTGTGTCAGCACTGGCCTTTGTGTTCTGCCCCGCTCTGGTGCGCCGCACTTTGGGCTTGAAATGGCAATGTGGGTAGAAAAAACTGCATCAGCAGTAAGACAAACTCTATTCCAACGATGTACAAAACTGTCCTGCTTAAAGTGAAGGGAGCACAGGCGAGAATGTTGGTTTGGTGTCCAGTCCTTTGTGTTAATGTTGTGTATTCACTGCTGCAACCTGTCTTTGTCACTGAAAGGGAACCTGAAAGGAAAAAAGACAAATACACATCACAACGTGACAAATTTGTTTTGTCATGAAGATGATTTCCTATTTTTACAACAAATATATGCATAGTTTAGCTTTCATCATTTTGTGAATGTACTGTGAAATTGTTTTTTTGAGATGTGGTTGATAGTATTTTACAGTAAAGCATGGTTAGATACAGGACAATTAAGGTACAATGTGCTGATTTCATATTGCACCCTGTTCACCTTATTTCAAGGGAAAGAAATCTTGAATAAAAACCCAAGTGCATGTGTGTTCAGTAATTATATCTGTAATTATTTATAGATTTAGTATGATAAGAACAACTTGGTTTGCAACATTTGTAAGAAAACCATTTTACTTATATGGATTAAATACATTTCAAATGATCAAAATGGAACAATGATGAAGTACCAATGCTAACATAAATTCTCACAGCCGTCCTGTACACGTGTTACCAAGAGTTCTGATAAATCAAGGTTAAATGTTTTTTATATACAGATTATGGTTAAATAACTAGGTGTGTATGCCATAGCTAATGCAGGTATAATCTTACACAATAAATATCTTGTGACTCTTAATTAATTCATTTATCTAGGCATAGTCTTAATTGTGATTCCATTAAACTTGCCTGAAAAAATGAGGAGTCTTTGATGATTGTTTGCCACACAAGAAGGCATGTTGACATCTGTTAATCAAAACTCTGTTTAATTATCCCACCTAGACTCACTTCCCAAACACCAATGTAGTGTCACTGACTTTAGATTCTTCGAGAGTTTATAATCTAAGCAATACGCTTACGTCTAACGTGCGCGACGAGGTGTCACAGGATGTTGACCATTTTTGGGCCTACATGGAACCGTCCGTGCAGGCTTCTCCCTGTTAAAATGTCCACCTTTCACAAGCAGGTCCTTTTAGCATGGTCTCTAATTTATAAGCATAACTTCTCACCTCACAGGTATCTAATTAGGAATAATAGAGATATATAAAAACAAGTCACTCTTTTTTGAGAATTGGGTACTCAACCAGATTCTGCTGGTGGACCAGCTATTTAATGGAGAGGGGCGACTTTTCTCCTATAGAGAATTTTTATCAACATACAACATTCCAGTTACGCCAAGAGAATTTGCAATTGTATTTGACGCCATTCCATCAGGCACAATCATGCTTTTTAGACATACTGGCAGACTTCCACCTACTTCTGTCTCTCTCCCCGATGTGGCTGAATCACCAGTAGGTAAAATCTGTTTTTCCCAACTTCCTCGAAATAATAAGAACATTCGTGCTTTATTTCAGAAAGAAATTGTTTCTGTTCCAAATGTTACAGTTTACTGGAACCGATTTGTAAATGACATTGACTGGAAAAAGGGTTGGATGATTCCTCACAGATACTTGATAGTAAACAAGGTGAAAGAAGTGTCGTTCAGAATAATTCACAGATATTACCCTGCTAATCATTACATGGTTAAACTAAATCCTCTATCAGTCATGTATTACTGGACAAATGAAATGCAACCATAAAAATTATCAAAAATATTTTTTATTTAATGAAAACCTCAAGGATTATAACTTTAACATGTTTCAAGACAGGTAGAAACCCCACATACCAAAATACTTTTTTAAGGTGAATTAACAGTGGGCTGATCTTCCATAAGGATGCTGATAGTGGCACACCTTGAGCTTCCTCCTCTCTCTGCTGCCAGGTTGAAACACCATATTTTCTGCTTTAAGATATCATGTGGCAGCACGGGAGATATGACTCTCTCACAGCATCTGTAATCACACAAGGAGATTTTCAAACAAAATTTCATGAACTCCTATTGCAACCAACAGTTTTTACAAAATGATACACGCTGACCACCACATATTGATTTTTTTTACTAGGCCTATTTATTGCAGAGAGTCGTAACGCGGCACATCCTCTCTCTGTCTCTCTCACTCACTCCTCTCTCACATGAACACCGCTGCACAAATGAGTCCAGCACAACGTGTTCAATGACAGAGACCCACATTAAAAAAGTTATAAGCATGTAAGGAGCCTAGCTAAGGTTAAAACAGTGTAAAGAATTGAAACAGGTGGAAATGCATTAGGTGCGTTTGACTTCATGCAGCGCTGCGCAAAGCTGACTTAACGTGATACATCCTGGACATAAGACGGGGGGTAAGACGGTGGAAACCGTCTGGCTCTGTCCACATGTAATAAAACCCACTTCACTGTACTTCTAAAGATCACTAATCAGCACTTTATATGTTATTCACAGTAGTTTATTCTAAACAAAAAACAATTTATAAGAAGTGGTTATGTAATTAACTATATATTGGTCACGACCTGGAACCAGCAGAGACATCAGGAAAGCACTTCAGCTTTTGTACACATTAAACAAACAAGGTATTTTCTGGAGATTAAGACAGTGTTCAGACCGAAAACAGTGTTCAAAACACTTGGTGGAGGCATGTCCTCATGTGCCGATTAGACCATGAAATATCACCCAGGAAGGCTGGTTGGAGTGAAAGATCAATGCGTTTTAAGGCTTGTTAGATGTCAAAACACTGTATAACTGTTTATAATATTATGAGAAACTATTTAACAACTCTGGAAAGTAATGCGCCAAAAATGATTTTATTTTGCATGACAACAAAAATTATAATTTAACGGTCAAGTTTCAGAGTCTACCAGAAATGTGTATTAGTAGTAGTAATGTGTGTCTTGGCAATTCAGTGCTTTGCCAGATGCTGTGTTGTGTTGTCAATTTGTTAGCCAACAGACCCTGCAATGTTTTCTGAAACCCCCTGCGTTGACTTCTAATCCTGGTTGTGTTTATTTAAAGTAGTGCTAATGCCAGTTTGAACACTTCCTAAGAGTGCTGTGTGACTTCAGATTGTTTTAAATATATATTACAATTACTTACACAGGAGCAACATCTCCAATGCCATCTGGTATAGAGTGTTGCATAGTGATCCCTTTCCAATTTATCCCCTTCCCAACATCATCATGGAACATGTGGGCAAGGATGTACCACGTGGAACGTTTTCTATTGTGGCCCCTCTGGCTTCCAGGAAGAAAATCTGAAATTAAAATTAAAAAAGTACAAAAAATATGAATTTTTTTTAAATCATGTAACCAGGTGTCAATACTGTGTTAATTAGATTTTTTTTTTTATTCACAAGACCTTGGTAACCAATTTTTAAATCAGCCTAAACCTAGCCAAAAGAAATATGTATGTATTCATGTATGTATATAGTCTAACAACTTCAACAGAATGAGACATCCTCTACTAAAACCATCAGCTGATCCACAGTTTCAGTAGAAAATAAAATACTAACAAAATATATATAATACAGTGTTTCCCACACATAGGCCCAGGTAGATTAACAGCCGTCCAAGTAAATTTGGTGACCCATTTTAAAATCGTTTTTGATAGCAGCGCAGATTCGCTCCGCACATCCTCTCACTCGGTCGCTCTCTCTCTCTCCCCCTCGCTCTCTCAAACACGGACAACAGACCCGTCTGTGAATTGAATGGTTGGCATCACAAACAACGCTGCACAAATCTGTCCAACACAACGCTGTCAGTGTCGGAGACCCATCTTTAAAACAGTTATTAGCAAGCATGTAAGGAGCCCAGCTAATAAGGAGAGCTAATTTAACTTTGGAAAACAGCTGTCGAAGTTAGCGCGCTATAACTGGTAGTCAACAGGTGCGTTTGAGATAACTGGCTGACTTTCGCCGACTTCATAGATAGGGGAATAAAAACTGCAGCGTCATGTCAGACACAATCTACCTCTGGTAGACTGCGTGAGCAGGACTTGCTCCTACAAGGTCTAGTGATGTTTTGCAAAGCAGGTGTTGTGCTGAATTCTGCCTGCCTGCCGTGAATTGCATTCACCTCGCGGGAGTTAACGCTCATTTATACTGAGAAAAGAGGTGGATGCAAATCTCGGCAGGTAAAGTTAGCCTACAACATCAGTGTTGCCGAATTATGCATTCACTTATTAAGGTCCTTTTCAGACACTTTGCTGTTCACATTGTTTTAACGTGGTTAACGCCACGTTTTTGCTGAATTTCAAGAAATGGCAACCTACTTTTAGGAAGTGTAATAATATGTTAACGAGTCTTAAATTTCATAAAATATATGCTGATCAATTATCACTATTGATGAACCCCACAAAGAATAGTAGAGAAAGAGAAAAAATAGAGAAAGCCTCATTCTGTTGGAGTTGTTGGAGCTACATTAACACTCAGTCCACTGAGTTGGTCAACTTAAATCATTGAATAAACGTTTGTTAGCAACAACTGATCTGCCTTGATTTTTCTCATTTAAAACAGCGACATGGTCGGCTAAAAGGGGGATGGCGCTATCTGAATGTTTTGTAACGTTACACTGAGCCAGAGATGTTTAGAGCTCATAAGGACATTGACTGTGCTATCATGGCTTTCAAAACTCAAAAGTCGCTCAGTGCATGAAACAGTTTTTCACACTGTCACACTAAAGAATTATGCTCACTCACGCATGCACTTAAAATGCTTAAATTTTAGAGCTCTGTGGTTATTTCCTTTCTTACATCAAAGAAAAAAATGTTCATTTATTAAAATCAATAAAAAAGTGGACCATTGTCAGTATTTGACAAAATACCAATTTAGTCAGCTAAATCAAGTATTACTTACTTTACACCGGCGGCAGGAAAGGGTGAGAAGCAGGCAGTCCCCAAATCAGACTTGTGATGGACACCCGTTTCGAATGTATGCTGCAGCAAAGCACAGTATAAAGCAAACAAGTTAGATGCCACACGGAATTAAATTTAAGACCAATTTTACATTAACCAAAGTTGAAGAAAAGAAAAATGCCAAATGAGAAAAAAAACATTAACTGACATCAAAGCTGCTAACATTACTTTGTGTTTAGGGATTTTTGCCTAAATATTGATTTAATAATCTGAAATCTTGCAGATGCACAGTGTATCTTTCAATGTGAGTAAATATCCCGCGGATGACATTTCCGATTTAAAACACTGAAGTTAAGGTTAACTGTTAACTTAACCTGCCTGAGAAATAATCACATTTCAAGTTTTCTTCAGTAATAGTCATCAGGCAATAGTTGTCTGTACAACCACCTTTCCATTGCAAACTGTAAGGTTAAACTGCTAAGTTAATAACATTGGCTTTTTCGGCATACTTTTTAATGGCATTAATTTAACAAAATATTATCAAATATCAGCTAAAAACGGACTCAAAAGAGTAACGTTAATGGTTAAATTATACTAGAAGCTGCTATCTAAATTAGGCTATCAGATTATCTTAGCTTGTAACTAGAGGGGTGAATTATACTTAAAATGTCTTAAAATTACTGACCACTGCAGTTAACTGATGTTAAAATCACTCCTCTCACAAACAGAAACATCTCATCCAAATTGGGCTTTGTTAACTTTTAGTTAGCTAGCTAGCTTAACATTAATGCTAAGGTGCTGTAACAGAGCTAACTTAGCTTGCCATAATCGGATATTGTCTGAATTAAAACGACAATCAAAGCAACACTATCTATGACCGGTGAAGTTATTAATTTTACCGGCTAGGCAAGTGTACAAAAAAATCAGGTTTTGACAGCACAGTTTAACGTTACTTACCGTGTCCTCCGAGAGAGCTGCCGATTCCCACTGCAAGCGCTCTGCTGTTTGTGAGAATAACGGTCAGCGACCGTTAAGAATTTTTGAAACAGGCGCGTTCGATGTGCGATAGGGGAGAGCGTACGGCGAATGTGCCGGCTTGAAGGCGGATCCGCCCCACAGTCCTCTGCTATCTGGGCTGTTATATGTTTGTATATTGTTATATATATTTTGGTAAGTCACTTGTAATTTATATCCCTTTTTTGCAATAAAGTTGACTTATTTAAAAAAAAATAATAATTCCGTGCAGGCTTTGGTCGGCTTCACTGTTTCAACTGTGGCTTACTCTTGGGCCGAAGTCGTAACGTATCCCTCGAAATCTAGTATAATTGCAAGAAAGATGTATAGAGATATATCCAAGCAATTATTGTTCTAACAATCTCCCCATATTGCTGTACCGAAATGAGACCTTATTTTGTTTTCTATAGCCTTTTTTACTAACTGGTACCCCCATTATCCTTTCTGTTTCTTCATTTATTTTCATTTATTTCCTGTGTTTGTAAGACTGGTTTTTGATTTGTACCAAATGATCTAATTTTTGTTCCCCATACGAGAGTGTTGTATGTTAATGTGTCATAACAATAATAATAAAATAATAATAATAATAATAATAATAATAATACAAAAAACCGTATCCCTCGTTTAAAAATGGCGGATATGTTTATCGCGAGATCTGGCAACTGATGTATACTATACTTTTAAGTCTCGCGTTGCCAGTAGTCATGTCTAATAGGGCTACAGCTGCCATCTAGCGGTTGACAATAGTAATTGCATTTTGTTTTAAATTAAAATGAAAGTTAATTCAGGGAACGTTACAGCGAAAATAAAGAGAGTTTAAATGTTTCAAACGTTTACTTGCATTTGATGATATGATATCACGCACCTCAACAGCTGCGTGGGTGAAAACTACATGTAACCAATTTGGTCTGAAACAGGACTATAGCCAAGCCGTTGATTTTAGACCACTGATTGCCTCTATTTCGCCGGATGGGCTAAAAGCAGACTACACGTTGCCTGTCCAAATAAGAGCTAAATCATGGCTACAGATAGACCATGTCAATTTAATGACACTTAATATCTTGTAGAAATTATTGACATAGCAAAAATAATGGGATATCAACCATCTCTCGTGCTACCAGGGCAAAACCCCACTTTTAATCATTTTTGACCATTTTGACTAAAAGTGGGCTAGAAATAGCCGATCTGTTTACGAGCTAAATCGTGTTTACGCACAGGCTGCGCGTAAAACGTGAAAGAAATGAAACAAAAAAAAACTTGTAATCACTGTAGACCTTGCTTACATGATGGAATATCATACACCTTGCAAGTTATTTTGACAAAAACGCCATGTAACCACATGTAAAGTTATTGTGGCCAGAAGTGGGTTACTCATAGCCGGACTAAATCAGATTTATACCCACATAGCAGTGACATTTGGCCCAGATTTGGCTTAAAGCTGGCACTGCTGGCACTGAGTCGGCACTGGCATAAGGCATATGAACCGAACATGGCCCAGGTGTGGCAGACAATGGCACCGCCTTTAAGGCGGCAAACAAGATATGGGCCAGTTGTTGAGCGTTGTATTTGGCCCAGATGTCAAATTAGAAATGTGGGCCACAGATGTATGACCGGTCTTGTCCCACAGTTTAATTTCAGATATTTTTGAGTAAGGTGCTAATAATTATTTAAAAGCATACTTCCATGACTTGTATTTGTAAACAAACAAATTTTAAAAAATTAGGCCCATGATGAGTGTTTTTTTTCTTTTTTAAAATACAAAATCTAGACACCTCCTCCACTATTTTTGTACCTTGCCAGTAAAAAAACCGTTTTAAGATTTATTTATTTTTTGTTAGGAATTAATTCAAATAATGTCATGATCCTGTAGGGATTTAGCTCCATTCAAGCCGTCTTGAAATGGTGATCTTCTGAAAAGGAAAAACTAATGGGAATTTTAATTCTGAAACAAGGCCCTGGAAATAGTAGGCGTTAACGTTCTGATGTCAATCAATTGAATTTATCAACGTATCCACTCAGTGTAGGCTGCACCAGGGCCGTGGACAGGGACGTCACTGGAACGAGCCAACGGTCGAGACTACCAAGAAAAAAGAGAGAGTGCTGACTCACTGCACTCACGGTCACGGACTAGTTTGGGGAATAGCAAGTTGCCCAGAGCACTGTGGCTACAAGCCAGCAAAGAAGTGGTGAGTGAGAAACAATAATTTCATGTTTATGAAAACGTTACTGTTTTAGTTATTACATTTGCTGTTAGCTCACAAAGCTAACATTCGGGAGAGGTCGGGAGTCTAGCTTGAATGTTACTGTAAGGATGGGGCTAGGCTAGGTATAAGCTAACGTTAGCTAGCTAGCTAATCGTCATAGGCTATTAAAAAGATGTTATTTCCGAGTAAGCTTGTGAAAAGTGCTATTTTTGGTTAACCTATTTTGCAATTAAATTTAGATAACATTAGAGAATGGTATTCTTTCAAGCTAAGTGATATGCCTTGATATAGATTAGCTAACGTTAACTTAATGTAGTTTTGAAAAGTAACGGCAGGATTTTTGAATTTAGCGGCATTTGGAGATGCGCGTGCAACCATCACGCCATGGCCGTGCAGCTCTCCTTTAAATTTCAAACACGCAGAAAAAATATTTTACGTATTACAAGATTATCTATATCAATGCAGTGTCACTAATCTTGAAATAATTTTGAAATAATTAGTTCAGCTCGAGTAGTTCATATGTCACCTGCTCTGCTGCGTGTGTAAGGTTGACTGACGTTAATACACACAGACATGAAGCCCCATCAATGGCCCATCCTCAACCTGGGGAAACACTGCTTGCTGTCTTTTAATACTAACGTTATTGGATTACTATTTCTTATTTGGGCTATTTGGGATTTTGGCTTAATGCATTATTATTTAAAAAAGAAAAAAGAATTCAATTTTAAAAGTTCAATAAATGCAGGATGTTCCCGAAGGCAGTAATTGTTTTAAATAATTGTGATCTCAATATTTACCAGATTAATTGTGATTATGACTTTTGCAATAATCGAACACCCTAATGTAATCTATATTTAATTGCAGAATAGCTTAGCTCTTGTCATTGATATTTCATTCTCATTTTAAGCTAAATAAATATATAACATAAAAAAAATTGTAATTTGGTATATTCTTCTTTGTCTGTTTCAGGTTGAAGGACAAAAGTTTGAGGAAAGTCACGGTATGGAAAAGGCGTGGATGTACAATGATAGGGGCAATGCACGAAGAAGGGCATTAAAGACAGTCAGTAAACTGATTGAAAATGAGCTGGATAGGGGAGGGATGGTGGATGCCAATTTAGAGTTAGGTGATTGTGTTGATGATTCAGAAGAATCTGAGATGCTATTTAGTGATGAAGAAAGTGATCAGTGTCTTCATGTTGAGGAAAAGGAAGTATATGAAGAGACTGTAGCTTCTGTTGAGGATCTGCCTGATCTTGGAGAACAGTGCAGTCATAGTGATGGTGATTTGCGGAGCTCTCTGGCAGATTGGGCAGTTGAATTTGGTATTTCTCTAATAGCTCTGTCAGCGCTTCTCAGCATTCTCAAAATCTACCATCCCTCTCTGCCAAAGGATGGACGAACACTGCTGAAAACAAAAACATGCTACAACATTAACAGTGTAGCTGGTGGTGTGTTCCACTATTGTGGAATTCTGAATTCTATCAGGAAAATTCTAGATAAAGTGTGGTCTACAGTGCCAGACGGACATGCTTTTAAACTGCAGTTGAATTTTGATGGTCTGCCGCTTTGCAAGAGTACTAGTACACAGTTTTGGCCAATTCTTGGTATGTTGCAAAGATACACCAAGAAACCAATGTTGATCGGACCGCTTGTGGAGTATCTTCATAATCTGGTTCAAGAGTTGAAAATGTTGAAAAGTGGGTTTCTGTTCAAGCAGAAAACCTTCTTTGTGAATGTTGTTTCTGTTGTGTGCGATACCCCAGCCCGAGCCTTCATAAGAGGTGTGAAGTCACACACTGGATACCATGGGTGTGACAAGTGTCACCAAACGGGTGTCCGCAAATCTAATCGAATGACATTTCCTGAGGTCAATGCAAGGCGCAGAACGGATGACAGTTTTAGGCAAGCAGTAGATGAGGAACATCACATCCATCACTCACCTCTTGCAGATGTTGGCATTGACATGGTGGCTTGTTTCCCATACGATTATATGCACCTGGTTTGTCTGGGTGTAATGAGGCGTCTCTTAGATTTGTGGATCAGCACCACTGGTCCTTTGCGCTGTCGCATTTCATCTAGTCTAGCTTCCATGGTTACGGATAGACTTCTTGCTCTGAAAAATTACATTCCCAGTGAGTTTGCTCGAAGGCCACGGGCACTGGCTGAACGATGTAGGTGGAAAGCCACAGAATTCCGCCAATTCTTGTTATACACTGCTCCGGTTGTGCTGAGGGGTGTTTTAAAACCTCAGATCTATGACAACTTCATGCTTTTGTCAGTAGGTGTGTATATTTTGGCAAGTCCAAAATATTGTATGGAGATGAACGACCTTGCTCACACTCTGCTGGTTTCATTTTTTGAACACTTTGGACAGCTTTATGGTGAAGAGTTTTGGGTTTACAATATTCATGGTCTGTTGCATCTCAGTGAAGATGTCAAAATACATGGCAATTTAGATCTTATATCAGCATTTCCCTATGAAAATTTCTTAGGAAAACTTAAAAAATTGGTTCGGGGGCCATGCAATCCTTTGACTCAGGTGTTACGCAGATTATCAGAAATGGAAAATGGCAGCTACAGTCCAGATGTTAAAGAGGCAACTCAAAAACTGGATAAAGAGCATATGGGCGGGCCAGTGCCAGAGTGCTTCTCACAACATGTTCGTCAATTTAAAGTATTGGCTATTGATGATATAGTTGTGAAGCCCAATGAGAGAGATTCTTGTATCAAAGTCGATAACAAGTTTGTTTTAGTCCGAAACATTGTTGAGGATAAAGGAATTGTGTACCTTGTGGGTAATGAATATAAACAGGTGGAACATTTCTTTAAATATCCAATTGACTCAAAAGAGTTGGAAATTTATGTGGTTTCCAACCTCTCCACCAATATCAAGTGTTTTATGATTGAAAAGAAGCTACAGAAGTATGTAAGATTACCATTTCGAAACAGATTTGTTGTTGTTCCACTCTTGCATTGAAACTAGTAACCCTGAAGTTGCTCTTGTATTTTAGTTGGCTATGGAATTTATGTAGTCATGGTTGCTTATTTTCAGATGTTTCATATTGTTGTCTTTGACAACACAAATGAGGTTGAAGTTGTGCCTTCAGTCTGGATAGAAAATGGAGAGTGTATGTGGCCTCCAAATAAAATTGATGTGGCAAAAGCTGTAAAATCTCAAGAATGTCCTGGAGATGGATGGATGCCCCATAAGGCCAGAATTATCTTCACATCACGTAAGTTAAGTGTTATCACCTCTACCTTTTAAATTGATCTAATGATAGATCATAATATCACTTAAATTTACTTTTTTTCCCTGTATTTTGTTTTTCTAGATGACTACAATGAAGCAAGGCTTAAACTACCTCAGGCTGTCGATCACACTGACCTTGGAAGTGACGGAGGGGACTTGCCAATTAAATTTAAAAGAAAAAGAATGTATGTTTTTTGTTTTTTTATAAATCTGCAGCAGTGTTTCCCGTACGTTCATTTATTTGTGGCGGCCAGCCACAATATCAACGCTGACTGCCACACATTGATTTTAGATTATTTTTTACTAAGCCTATTTAAAATCGTATTTGATTGCAGAGCGCCGTAGCGCATTAATGCAGCACTTTCTCTCACTCGTCCCTCTCTCTCTCTCACTCACCTGTATCTCTCTCTCTCCCTCTCTCCCTCATGGAACACAGCTGCACAAATTATTATTATTATTAGCAAGCATGTAAGGAGCCTAGCTAATAAGGAGAGCTAAGTTAATGTTATAAGCAGCTGGATTTTCGAGACTAGCACGCTGTATATAGCTGGTAGTCAATATGCATGCACTCGCGCACACATACTGTTTCTTAAAATTATTAAATGTGTTTTTAGACGCAAGAATATTCTTTTCCCTGGGGAAGACGATGACGAGATGGAAAGCACCCTGAAAGTCACATTGCCCAATGCTCCAAAGATCCCTAGGCAGTACAAAACTCCTACATTAAAGCCAGGGAAGCAAGGCCAGAACCTCCAGCCAAGTGGCAACAGCAGTCCTGACTTCCCGCCAAGTGGCAACAGCAGTCCTGACTTCCCGCCAAGTGGCAACAGCAGTCCTGACTTCCCACCAAGTGGCAACAGCAGTCCTGACTTCCCACCAAGTGGCAACAGCAGTCCTGAGCCAAGCCCAAGTCAGCACTCCTGTACTTCCAAGTTTCCTTCAAGCTGTCACACCAACACTGAGAACCGGACGCCGAGGCACGCCAGCACCGAGAGCCGCCGGACGCCGAGGCACGCCAGCACCGAGAGCCGCCGGACGCCGAGGCACGCCAGCACCGAGAGCCGCCGGACGCCGAGGCACGCCAGCACCGAGAGCCGCCGGACGCCGAGGCACGCCAGCACCGAGAGCCGCCGGTCGCCGAGGCACACCGAACGATCTATACTCCCATCAAGGCACCCCGAGGCACACCAGACCAGGGAGCAGACATCCAGTCTGCAAACTTGTGAGTATTCAATGATGTTTGTTACATTGTATGAATTCTTTATTTGGCTAAATGGTTTCTTCAGATAATGAGGAAAATAAGACTTCCAACATTAAGTATACACAGATGACTAACAGAGGTCAGATAAGACTATCAGTTCGGTGGCTTAACTAGTTTTATACTGTTTCTAATCTATCTTTCTTGCTTGTTTTCTTCTTAGCCCTTCTGCGTAGTATATTAACAAAACAGGAAATGATGATGGACCAACTGCGCATCATCTTTAAGACCCTACAGGGTATGAAAGCGACTGATGAGGCAGAGATAGGCCTGGATCGAAATTTGTTGCCCGTCAAAGACGTCAGTTCTCTTCAGAACCTGGAGGAACAACTGCAGAGTATTCCTGACCTCCAGAAACAGTTGGTATGTTGGCATATCAAATACAGTGACATATTTCCTACTTAGCTGGCTAGCTTTTATTTTCCTTAAATTCTCTCATGAAAACCTGACCAGGTACCCGCAGGGATTTAAAAGTAATAAAAAGCATTTAATTTTTTATGATCAAAACACTATATACAAAAACAAAAAAGGAAATACTATTTAAATATCAGGGATGTGATTTTTCTGGATTAATCCGGAATTCCTGATTTTCCGACCTGAAAATATGACCCGCATGAATCATGCAGATCTGTAATAAAAACAATTTAAACAGGAGCTCACTGAGTGAAATGGAAAGGATTTGAGGACATCTACAGGCTGACATGTGTAAAGTTTTCTTCCTGTACAGTGTGTACCACAGTCGCTCTCGCGCATCAGTAGTACGTAACGTGTTGGGCAGTAATACTGCAATATTACTTTTCCGGGTAAAGAGTAATGTAAGGGATTACTACTTCCAAAACAGTTATATTATTACAGTTACTAATCCAAATAACACTGCGCTACTGAACGCACCATCCCTGTCGTGAATGTGCGACCGCGCTGCAGCTCAGTGGCACCGGCCCTTCTGCATTTCAAGTCAGCTGTTAGCCAAGAAGCTAAAGGAAAAGTGGAGAACAGGCAGAGAGAGGTATTTTCGACCGCTGTAAATAACTTTATTGCAATTATTGTGTGACAGTCTAAGATGCAAAGAACATTGCCGTCCGTTGTAAACCTTGTGCGACCAGCAAAAAGTTTTTGACCGCGAACAATTCTGCATTTATACTTAAGCTAATTGAAGCATCAGCTAAAGCAACACAGCAACGTGAAACTCAGAAAGAAACTCCGGCCGCTGCCAGTGATGCTTGGACTCATGCGGTGAGAGTGGCGTTAATCACCCAGTAAAAGAGAGTAGCTAATATTACTTTTTTAAGGAGTATATGCTAAGTAACTAGTAAGTAGCTGTATTATTTCTGAACAACACTAAGTTGACAGTAAGATCGGATAAATTGGGTATGTTTTGATTATTGCTTGTTATAGGCTATCTAATGTTTACTTTGACTTTGTTGTCGATTGATCAATCACCTAGACTATATAGCCTACACTTTGCTGTATGAATGGTAGCTTTTTAAGTCCTTATGTTTTGGCAAGTTTTAAATAAATTTTTTGTGAATGGTTGCGACAAGGTTTGTAAGGCCTTTTCAGACGGCTTTGATCCGCGTGGTCGCTCTGCACTCAGGCAAACAAGCACTCCACGAGGTAACCATGGCAACGGCTTCTGTGTAGCTGGCACGAATCCCGTGAAACTGTCGCGGCTCGTCTCGCGCCCGCCAGAGTTGAAATGTCAAACTTTTCCCTAAAGTTTATCAACAGAGACTGATCAGCTGTTTGATCTGAGTTTCCTGAATAATATTACTGTTTCTTTAACAATTAGGCCACCAGGTCTTAAACAGGCAACAACCTTTGCTGCTGTCTCTTATTCATTAAAAATAATCTATCAACTACTGAACTAATCTTAAAGTTTAGTGTGATCGTGGAGTGTGCACAAATGTATATTAAAATTTAAGTACCTGGTAAAATCCATACTGATTTTCCATTATATCCTTCATACTTTTGCCAGTATGGCTGTTAAATTGGCATTAAATTTCATTCTAAGTGGTATTACAAAGGTCTTTAAAAGTCTTAAATTTAATTCGGACAATCTTGGGGGTACCCTGCTTAAGCACAGTGTAACATGTTTTTCATGTGGGTTTATATATTTTAAAACTAACTTTAAAGGACAAAACCAGCCTTAAATTTTTTTTTTCCGGCAACTGCCATAATCATAAATGTATGCTACAAGTGTTTGTTGCAAAACTGTACTTTTTTTATGTTGAAACAACATTCTTCCTTGTTGCCTGAAACTTAAAGGTTGCCATGATAAGTAAATCCATCAAAACTAAGCAGCTAGCTACAGGAACACCACTTACTTATGCTATACATTCTATCCATTCCTTAAAATACGTAAATATGAAACCATTGCTGGGGGGAAAAAACTAATTAAGAAATATGATTTCAGGTGAACACGCTGGCTCTCAAAGGGGGGACTGACATTCGTGAGTGTGTTTGGAGGATTATGCACGCAATGATTACAAACTCCTTGGCGAAGAATATCAACATGAGAGGAATAAATGGAAAGATTGGCTTTCAGCGCCTACAGATAAGAGATGTTGTGATTGGTAAGTTGGCCTTCATACCAACATTGGCATGTATATGTTTAAGAACCATTAACAGTTATATAACTTGATAGTTCAGGGTCTTAAGAAGGAAGGAAGGAAAGCAGGGATGGACAAGATGAGGAAATGTGAAGGAAAGTAGAGGAAAGGAAGCAGGTGAGAAAAGTGAAGGAGCTGAAAGGAGAAGACAGGAAGAGAGATGAGGGTAGGGGTGGACAGGAGAAGGGTCATTAGAGGACAGTAGAGGAAGAGAAGACGGGTGAGGTGATGAGCAGAGGAGAGGAAATACCGTGATTTATCTTTTATTGGAATAGATACAATAGGACTTATTTAGAGATAATTGATTCGGGCAGGGGAAATTGAGAATGGCTGGTTGCTTTAAAAGAAAAATTCCCTTAAACTGAACCAACGCCCTTTTGACAGACATTCTGGTGTGATATCTACATGCAGAGACCATAATTTTGCAGATCAGTTTAAGTAGAAAGCCATAGGCAGCCATTACTGGTTCATATTGTACTCTGTCCTTTAAAATCCTGTAGTCACAAGTTAATTGTGTGTGTTTTTTTTTTTTTTTAGCTGCTGTGAGGCGTAACCGTCTGACATCTGGGGCCACGGACCAAGAAATAGATTCCACCATCAAAAGATGGCTTCATCTGGCTCCGGATAGGGATGGTGGCAGGAGGGAGAGGATGAGGAGAAAAGAGCGTGAAGAGAGCAGGACAGCAGTAAACAATTTAATGAACTGAAACATGGCATAGACATGTGTGCAGAGTACAACGGGTTCATGTACTGAAACATAGCATGGATGTTCAGAAGTTGTTTTTTGTCAAGTGTTTCACAAGTTTACAAGTGCAAAACCGAACTGAATTTCAGCTGGAACAGCGGGAGGCCAGGACTGTGTTTGTTATCCTGGACGAAAGTTGTGTGCAGAGTACAACGGGTTCATGGACTGAAACATAGCATGGATGTTAAAAGTTGTGTGTGTTTTACAAGTGCAAAATCTAACTGAATTTCAGCTGGAACAGCAGGAGGCTGGATCCGTGTTTGCTAACCTGGACTGGGCTAAAACACTTAACCTGGTCTGGATGTTGTGGGAAATAAATACCATAATTTCTGTGCCGGAGAGATCCTCACGCCAAACTATGTTCAAAAATCTTTTATGTACAAGTGTTTTGTACAAGAATTTCCTATTTGTCTGTACATTTTTACAAATGCACTGCTGACGTGGGGGGGTTGAGGTGAGAGGAGATAAGTGGAGGAGGGGACTGGAAAAAAGAGAGGAAGAGATTGTCTGGCAAATAAAATTTACAGTTTTGAAAATGGCTTGATGTGGAAAAATCAATAAATATTTTTCATAAAACGTCTGTATTGAGGCTTTTTTTTTTTTTTGTAATCTGGGCCAAATACGGCAACTGTATAAAATTAAAGTGGCATGGTGAAGGTTTAGTTGAGGCTGACATGTGGAAACAGTGCAAAAATCAGGTATGGTCCAAAATAGGGCCAGCTATAGTCATACAGTGGGCTGAGATATGGCTATATCATGGGCCATATGTGGCCCGTGTTCTAGCTACCAGATATGGACCACTTGTGGACCGTAATTCATTGATGTATCTGGGCCGAGTCTAAGTGTGTTGTGTGGCCCGTCACTGGGCCAGACCAGTTTTGCTATGTGGGATAGTAAACCTAGACGGTGAAATGACGGCTGTTGCTTGCTGGGGAGGGAGAGGGTTGATCATATGGCGAGAGACAGAGGAGGGGTAGAGTTAACTGATGCAGAAAATATGCAGTTTACTTTTCTGCTACATTATAGTTGAGGCACACAGTTTTTCCCCACTACAAACAATGTGTTGGAAGAAGTATTCGATAGGGTAGGTAAAAGTAGCACTAACCGTGTAAAAATACTATGTTAAAAGGCCCTGCATTCAAACTCTTAAGAAAGTATTAGCATCCAAATGGTCCTCAGAATATCATATGCTTATTACATTACTGGAGTATAAGGCATTCGCCTATAAGCATCACTTTAATTTTGCATCTGGTAAAGGTGAGGACACTTTTAACAACACTGGGCTACTGGTTGGTTAAATTATAGCCTACTAATTATGATTTATTAGTTGTTTAATATTTTATTATCTAAATCTGTTAAGTAGCTAGGAACTAGGCTAGGGTATAGCCTAATATATAGAATATTAACTAAGGATTATTAGTTTTTGCACATTAACTTCCATAGAGGATGTCAACATTTTAACTGTCAATGAATACATAAGTAAAAATATGAATAAATCCTACAATAATTTAATGCACAAATGTATAGGCTACATGTTTGTAATTTATCAGCACATAGAAAATAATTGTGTTCAATTAATGTATATTAATTTCATTTTTATACATTTCTAGGCTAACTTGCAAAGGTTTTTTTTGTTGCATTTACAGTAGGGAACCGTAGTTGTTGTGAACTTGAGTAATCTTGGGATCTTGGTGTTGTGAGAATGACATAAATGTGAAGAAAAGGACCCTTCAAGCCACTGGTTCTGGTTCTTGGGGGTTTTAATAGAAACAGTTTGACTGCCCGACACATATACAAGCCATATAGTAAATGATTTGCCTTTGCCTTAAGAGTGATAATCGTCAACTGCTTAGCTCAAAAGTACAAAAGTACAAATATTTTAATTAAGAAGGGTGTTTTATTAGAGATTGTATAGGAATTCCATGAGTACCATCTCCAAACACAGTCAAGTCATTAATGTTACTCACTGAGGGCCTCTGGTTTTATCGGGTACTGGGTAAATGTATGTGATGTGTCCAGGGGATAGTGTCTTTCATTGTGTCACAACATGTACCTGGCTGTACTAGGACATGTTTGTCTTTATGATATATAGATTTAGATTGAGTGTCCTCCAGACGACCTCTTAAAGACAACATGTTCCAGTGGTAAGATAGTGCAGACCCAGAGATAGTAGCCTACCCCACAATGTGGCTGGTCGTCATAGCGACGCCACACACAACTGCCGCGACGTAATGTTCAATGCGACACACACACCAGCTGTCTCTTGATTTAAGTTAAAACATTTCAGCATTACTCAGAATGTAAAGACAGATAAGATGGAGGTGATACGAAAAAAGTACCAGATAGCAGGTACAAGTACAACTTTTACACAATGAAAAACCAAAAAAAGGCGAGTAGAGTCGAGGCGAGTCAAGCTGGTACTGTGCAGTGGAAAAGGGGCTTTACTGTCTATCTCTCCCTGTATCTAATAAAGTGTATGTGTGGGAAACACTGAATGAACCAGCCACGTCTTTCACAGTGTCAACCAGCATTGTATCTCCTTCCATGTTGTTAGAGAGTTTGTGAGTAGACGGCTGCGTGCGGACGCAGAGGGAGGGTCGGGGCTGCTCGGTGAGGGAGAGAGAGGAGCAAACACTGGCAAGACTTTGCACAAAGTGGCTTTTCTCTATAGCCTGCATGCTTTAAAATTGTGAATTTGACTTTTAAACAAAATTGGAGGAGTGATGACCCTGACCCCTGCAAGGAATAAAACCTAATCTCACTCCAAACTAAATTGACTATTAAAGTTTTTGTTTTACAGCCACAAGACATGTGAAGTGGACGCCAGCTAGTTAGCTGTCCATATGGGCTGTGTCTGTGTCTTGGCTTGATCCAGATAATCTTTGTTGGAGGATTAAAGCAATGTCCCAGAGGAAGAGGACATCCTACATGGACTGTATTCGTGTTATAAGGCTCCTACAACCTTTCAGGTAACGTGTGTTTTACTCTCCCCTAGGTGGTTTTACCACAGAGATGAATATTCCTTATATCTACAGTTCCACATCGGTCGACTGGGCTAGCTGCGAATGCTAGTAAGTGTACATTAGCCCCACTAATGTTAGTGTAAAGTTACAGTTTTGTAAACAAAGTGTTGCCAGGGGCTCTTCTCTAAACGTTTAATTGCCAAAGAAATAAATGCTGTAGCTTGTAGTCATTGACTCTTTTGTTACTGGAGTAAATAGAAAATGTATACGTTTGAACTTTGTGTGGTTTGCTTCCACAGTCAGCCAGCCCATAAGCATTACTGTATCTTGTAACTGCATTGTGATAAACATGTTAAGTGGTTGGTAATAAACTCTCTCAGGAGTGATTGTGCTTTACACAGGCTGATTAATTGAAGAGTGACAACCCTGTTATAGATGTAATCAGTGTTCTGAATTTCATAAAAGCATAGTTAATAAACCTGTCTCTGTTTTAACATCATTTATGGAACTGTACAGTGGGGAAATACATAAGTTGATTAGTTTAGTTAGTTTATTTGTCTCAGTCCAGTCATACAGTGAGGTATATTGCAAATTATATAGGAAACACAGTATAATAGTGATTAGGAACCAAAAGCAGAACACTCAGACAGAGCAAATTCAGTTTATGGTGAACAGAATTCCAAATTACAACAGAAGGCCAAGGATAGACAGAGGAAAACAAAACACAGGGAAACTCAGGAGAAAGGCAGGTAGCTTGACCAACCTGATGAGTTACAAAGACAATCAAACACTAATTAAGCAATAATAAGCGAGCGGAAACCACTACTTAAGTATACAAGAGAGGTGGAGATAATGAGGGACAGGTAAAACTAATCAGGGCAGGGTAAACTTTTACACAGGAGCAGGAAGTAAAATAGGAAACAAAGCATAAATGACACAATGACAAAACAACACAGACAACCAGAAAACAGGAAATCATCACACTCAAAACCAAAAGCATGACAATAATAGGATTTATCATTGTATTTTTTCAACAGGACACATTTCACCTGCTGAATATAATGCATTCCACGCAGAACTCTAATCACTGGACTTTATCAGAGTTACTTGGGCAGCGGAAGCTGTTAGGGCTCGGAGCTCTGCTTGCATGGCTTGTCCTCTTCCATCTCCTTGTGAACGTTTGGCTCCTCTGCGTCTTCACCAGTCTCTTGGTCGTTCTAGGTGGGTGGCTTGGGTCTCGTGCTGTACTGGATGCAAACAGCCTTCTCCACCTGGAACACTTTTTGCCTCTTGGCAAAGTTAGTCCACCTCTGTATTCACCTGAGCATGAGTGGAGGCTGAACCACGAGATCCACAGTGCTGTCCACAAAGCGGTGCGTGACTTTGTGTCCTCATGGTATCGGACTCTGCTGCCAGAGGTGGAGGGGGAGTTTGAACGTGCGGTGCGTAACTCAATGCTGGAGTCAGTGATGGAGCTGAAGGAGCGTGCACAGCGAGTGGACAGAAAAGCACTGGTTCAACGGCTGCTAGAGTTGTATGGCTGTCACCTGCAGAGCTACATGACGGCACGACAGATACAGTCAACGCAAAAGGAAGACATTAGTCTCTGGCAGCTCTACAGTGAAGTAGATGCCCCTCACCCAGCTGTGAGCAGTGCAGCCGCTGAGCTCAGCTACTCAAGAGTTCTAGTTAACCTGGTCTTACATGTGCTTGTTCCTTATCCCCAGTTGGAAACCAGGACTGGAGGTTACATGGTTACAGAACTCATCACCTGCAATGTGCTGCTGCCGCTTATAAGCAGGGTATCTGATCCTGACTGGCTCAACCAGACAGTGGTAGACGTAATCAACAGGTCCAGAGAACCACAGGAAATCAATGTGGATGAGCTCCCGGCAGCTGCACTGTACAGATGTCAGATCCAGCAGGAGTCCTGGACAACTTGCATGTCACTGTCTTCTTCTGATCCAGCCAGCCTCACCAGCAAAAGCACCTCTGACCTTGACGATCTACTGAGCAAGAGTGAGAGGGATTCCTCACAGAGCAGCATGGTTAGCCTGACGTCTGCCGGGAAACTAGAAAGTAGCCACTCAGGTTTGCTCACATCATGCAAAGTGAACTGCTGTTCCCTCACATCTGGCCGTTCCTCCCACTCATCAGAGTCCAAAATGATTTCTTTGGACTCCCTAATTCAATCAGACTCCGAAGATGACCTGACAGGAGGCTTTTGTGACTGTGCTTCTCCAAAACATTTGTGCAACGCGATCACTTTAAAGGACGATGAGGCCTTCGGCTGCTTCGGTCCTCTGAAAAATCTTGGGCCGAAGGTGGTGGTCCCCGAGGATGACCAGTGGCCAGCAGGTATAGCCCAAGACAAATCCCCAGCTTGTTCGCCAAGAAGACTTCGTCTAACCTCCTGCAATTTTGGTACCCCCAACATCCAGGCTGCGCCTGCAAACATCCAGAATGTGCAAATTTCTGGTACAGTCACTGCGAAGGAGCAGCGTGGCACAGGCACACATCCCTACACTCTCTACACTGTAAAGGTACTGCCACCTCTTACTTCCTTTTATGTTTGACTGATTTAAATATGCAATGTTAGTGATTATGACACATTACCCTCTACTTTCTGTTTTACAGTTTGAGACAGTGACTGAAGCAGAAAATGCCGGTACTCCGCAGCCTGCGTCCTGTCACACTGTCCACCGGAGATACAGCGAGTTCCTCAACTTGCAAACACGTTTAGAGGAGAAGCCTGAAGTAAAGAAAGTGATCAAGAGTAAGAAATAATCCTCTGCTTTAACTGAACATTAATCTTTTGGGTACACATCACTGTAAGTCAATGTTATGGATTTCAGATGTCAAAGGCCCCAAAAAATTGTTCCCTGACCTCCCATTCGGCAATGCGGACAGCGACAAGGTTGAAGCCCGTAAAAGCCAACTGGATACGTTCCTTAAAGTAGGTATTGGGATCAAAACTTCAGTAATGAAATGATTTCTGTAGTTCTATAATATGTTTGTTTTCTTCCAGCAATTAAGCAGCTTTCCTGAGACATCCAACAGCGAGGACATGCAGGAGTTCCTGGCTCTCAACTCAGATGTTTGCACATACTTTGGAAGAAAGCCTTTTGTCAAGTCAAGAATTGATAAGGTGAGGCAGAACATACTGTAGATCTTGTGAACACCTAGTGTGATTGTAACAAACGTAGTTTTTATGTGATCTGTAAAAATTTCGTTGATAAAATAAGAGGAGAATTAACGCAATCAAGATAAATCCCAACAAATCTTAAAGGAATACTTTGACATTTTGGGAAATACAGTTTTTCTTTTTTCTTGCTGAGAATTAGATGAGACGATTGATACCACTCTGTATGAAATATATAGTTGAAGCCACAAGTTAGCTTATCTTAATATATAGACCAGAAGCAACAAGATCAGTTCGGCCACCTCTGTCCAAACTGTCTGCAACAGAATCTGCCTACGACCACCTCTAAGGCCTGCTAATCAACACTATAGATTCAGTGGAAAGTGTGATCTATGTATTTTCTTTGGTACTTTTTCAATGAGGGGAACTGAATTATGTATTGTCTTCTATAACTTGATTGTCATTAAAGATGATGGAAAATGCTTTAGACACCTTGAAGACAGCCTTCCCTCACCCTGAGCCCCTTAGCCCAGTGGAGGACCTTGAGGGAGATGCAGATGGAAGAACAATGGACAACAAAAAGTACAGGTGAGAGCTCCATATCAGTCCAATGCTGGTGTAATTTTCTGGTCAAACCACTGGTCACGCTTCTGTCTCACAACTAATACACCCCAGGACTCATAGATTTATTTTGTTTATCTAGAATTCTTATGAATTTGTGTTTTTTTTACTTTGATGGGGCATTTCTTGTTTTTGTGTTTCTTGCATCAGGAGGCTTATGTTCCCAAGCAAAATTTCCCCATCTCTTCCCCACATTCCTGACCTACATCCTAAAGTGACATACTGCTTTAGTGAAGGCAGCGCTGTAAGTTACCATACTGCATTTACTGTACTGTATTTACCATCTCTGGTTGACAAATGTGGTTTTAATACTGGACACTAATGTTTGCTTTGCTCATTATGGCTGTTTAGGTCCTCAATGGGATGTCTCTGTCAGGCCTGGAGAGCTTTGTCACAGAGCAGGAAAGACTTTTATGTGGGCCGAACAGGAAAGAGACAAGCAGGCAGAGCTGTGAGCAACCTGGCAAAGACAGGAAGACTTCAGGGAAAACTCACGGGACAGGTTGAGATTTACACTGTCTTGTAGTTTAATCTGTAACGTCAGCATGAAACAATTGCATTCCTCGCGGCCTTGCATTAATGTGCAGTAACATAGCATCGCCACTTGGGCGCAGCACAACTCTACTGTTAGTTGGACGTTTGCTGAGGATTCCTCGTAGTAATGTTTCCACAGTTTAATTTATTGTGTGTCGGTTTTTGTTGCTGTGTACTGCAGATACAGCTGTTGCAGATGTTGCTTTGAACATCTTGTGTCTGCTGATGAAGGACCAGTGGAGTTGGCTGTGCACTGAGAACATACAGAAGACCATCAGACTGCTCTTTGGCACCTTCATTGAGAGGTAGGAGCTTCTTTGAGCTTCTGTGCTGATGTTTGTGTATTTTATTACAATGTGTAATACCATATTCATTATTATGACCATTAAGGCTTTCTATACTTAACAAGCCGCTTTCAATAAGAGCCTGGGATTTATGTTGTATGACAACTGATCAATCCATTACAATAAAGACAAAGCAGTGACACAGCGATTACATGTTTACTGTAGGTGATACTAATGTACCTATTTTGCTAGCAGGTGATATTGTGGTACTCACTTGTTTTTCCTTCATACAGCTAAACGTCCACGCTGGGTCCTCTTCCTCTTTAAGGGACGGCTTTATGAGGCACTAAGTGGTTTGTGGCACATTAAAGCTGCATGACATTCTCTCAGATTGCCTTTCAAAATATTATTTTTTCTTTGAGTGCAATGATTATGACTTACTGGGAATCTAGAATTGCTGGGTCTGTTTTTACCACATCGTCTCACAACAACTGTGCTTGTCTATTCTCTAGTGTTCTGCTGTCATTAACTGATTACACTGGCCTCCATCTTTGGAACTGACATATGCCTCTGGGAGTTTTAAGGTTCACTAAGCATTTGAGTAAATTATCTTAATGCTCTTGCAATGGCTTATAGAGATTTATAAATGCTTGTTGGTGTTGCCTTCCCTTGTGTGCATGTCTTTCATTCTCTCCTAAACAGTAAAAGCATGTTTGCATGTGGCTGATATCTAGAAGAAAAATAAGACACACATGCACAGAGGAACATTATTACAATAAACCAGTGATTCTGTCTTAGATGGTTGGATGTAGGAGTTGCTCACCTTATCAGTGCCCCCTGCTGGGTGATTTACCTACAAGTGCTGCAGGAAGCTGTATGGCCAGGTGGCACACTGCCTGCCCAACCAGGGCCAGATCGTAGTGCTGCAGAAAGACAAGAAACCAAAGAGGAATGTCTGGACTGTCTAGTGCAGCTGCTCCCAGGTACGTAGCAGCTGTTAGATTCAGGGTGTAGGTGTTTGAATGCTCGTTAAATTCTATTTTGATTTGCAAAGATCCTGAAGCCATGTTCCTTTTTTGGGTTGTTTCATTGTTTGAGCAGAGTTCATCACTGACATGCTGGGAAGTGAGAAGTACAGACTGAGCTTGGAGACTATGCTGGAATCTTTACAGGACCATCAGATAAACAAGTGAGTCAACAACCAAACTGTTGAGTAAACACACGTCTTATTGTGCTACTTTGAGACAGCTGCACTCAGGAGTCTAGAAACTGTGTCAATAATACAGAATACGAATTTCTCTGGTTATCATATCTATAATACACTAAATAAGTGGTTTTCATATTATGAGTGTGAATTGGTTATAGATAGTTCAGAGATACATTAGTTTTAGCAAATGTTATCATTTTTTCTCCCTTTCCTAGATTCAGAAACTAATAAATGTATTAGGACAAACGTTTTTTCATGTATTTGGTGTAGTCAAAATATTATGCTATCTTGGCTCAATTGTTGACTGTCTTTGGTATCAAATAACATAATCATGATCCCATAGGCATCCATGAACTGAGCAAAACTAAGCAAGTAAACTAAGATGGGGTGAGGGGTCAGGGTCTTTGTCCAAGCTTTTTACTGAGGGGAGGCCCACAGTCTCAGAATGCACTAAACCCCTGCACTAACTACAATGGGTGTAATCCAAATCTGTTTTTGAAATATACAGAGATTGGGTAATGTGCTTCATTTTGTGCATTCACTTGTTTTCTATACTGATATTTATACTGCTCATACACATATACTGAATGTATTTTTAGCTGCCAACAAAATAAAATATAATAATAATAATAATAATAATAATAATAATAATAAAAAAAATATATTTTTAGAAATTTAAAAAGTAGAGCTGTTTAACTGCAATGGTCCTGGTAAAGTTGGTCTGAAGTGTCTATGAAGAAAGCTATTGACAGAAAAGGGCCACAACAGCTCAAAGGAGATTGTGCATGCAATGAGACGAGATACAGATTAAATAAATTTAGTTAAAAAGTTATTGACAAAAATTTAAAAAGGCCTTTTAGCATGCATTTTTGAGACGGTCCCTAAATTCTCAGTTCCTGTTCGCTCTGTACAGATTACAATCATCTGGATTACTGTGACACCAGGGAAAAAAAGCATTTTATGGACATCAGAAACCACTGTGATGAGTGAATTGTGTTCATTGTACCAATATGTTAATGTTTAAGAAATGAATACATCTGCTGTATTTAATCATTTTCCATATTATCCATATAAGCACCTGTATTGATGCCAGTCTATTGTTAACCCTGTTTGTGTTGCTTATGTGTAGGCACCTGATCTACTGCATCTGCGACCTGCTGCTGGAGTTTCTGATTCCCGAGTCATGTGAGGAGGCCTTCCAGAGCTCTCTGCTGCAGAGCCTGGCCAAAGACAGTGACAGGGACACTCCTCACACATGATCAGCACATGATAACACTCACAGTAATGTTTTAGTATGAGTGTATGAGGTTTGTGACATATTCATAATAGGCCTGTACTGGAGTCACTGGTGTCCACGGGGTGATGACACAGCATGGCAGCAGTCAATATCTGAGTGGTCAGTGGTAAAAGGGAGATTGTTGTTCGCCTTTGTGCGGTCACATCAGAATCGTGTGGCTTCACCTGGCTTCAGAAATTTATAATGAACTCCCCTTCTTTGTGACTTACTGTGACATGAAGAGGAGAAATGTATTTATATTTTTGAAACATTTTAAACAAGATGTTACTGTTTAGATTAAAGCTTTATCTGGTTCAGTTTAAAGCTTCTCTCAGAAGCACCTTGAGTGTTGTTACTTTTGATTTAATGTTTGAATCGAAGGAAACTTTATATGATGACAGCTCTAAAAGCTAAGCAATTTCCTTGCTCAGAATATCTGACTGTGAATAGACATGTAAGGTCATCCCTGAACTGCACAGTTACAGTATGTTAACTTGTGTCGTGCAGTGAAACTCTAAAATTGGATTGTAATAATAAGAGTTTGTATTGGCATAAGTAGTTTTACCTGACCATCTCTGTGAACTGTTTATGAATGAAGAAATTAGTCTGACCTTAATAGTAATGGAAAGGAAGAATAGATTTGTGTGAAAAGAGTTTTAAGATTTGCCTCATATACTTTCAGTGTTAGTCTTCCCATGATCTTTTGATCCTGACCAGCCTTCTCAGAGAATCTTTTTGATGAGCCTATAGTAGTGTTAAACACCCTACTGCACGACTAATGAAACAAGTTTCCTTTTAAATTTGACATAAATGATAAATTAACAAATTCAGTAGCATCTATTAAGAGTTTACATATGGCAACAATGCTTTTAAGATTTTCTCTCGCAAAGTATGAAGCCAGTTTTTCTTGTGACAGCAGTTGCTCAAACTTTGAGGGTAGTCAGAGTAATCAGTAGCCTGAGATTATAGTCTGAAATGGCTAATACTGCTGGCATTGTCAGATGCTGTCAATTTCAAAACAATGGTTGTTAAGCATTGTGCCACAACAATGTCCAACTTGAGTGAACATCACCTGGATCAGAAAAAAGTAGAAATTACCATATAAACTCTGCTACATTACATTTCAGAAAGAAATCCAATGTAATTGCACTAAACCCTTAAGTGTCTTTATGTGTGTCCTGCACTGAGAGCTGATGATGCAAGTGCGATGCGAGTACAAACACTGATCTTTGTTGGCCAGAGAGAGACAGGGATTCTCCAATATTGAGATGTGACCTTTTATAAAAGAGAGTGTTAGACTAAAGTGTGGTAATATTTCTACTCTACTACCCCTTTATAACAAACAAGCTCAAAGAGATGTGATATAGTTAGAATCATTTCAAAGCGTTCATATTCTTATCACTTAACTCTAGTTAAAGAGACATCTGTAATTACATGTTTGAATGCAAAACACTTTCAGTTTATTGATTTTCTGGTTGTGTTTCAATTCCTGGATGTAGGATTTAATAGGCGCAATGGAGGACACATACAATAAAATACAATCTGTGTACAATTCAAGACAATGGTCCTGCAACAAATACTATCTTTGTGAATCTTTAAGATGGTACTTTGTATAGGGGGTGGACACAACAGGAATACCTGACAACAGTCCAAACAACATCTAACAATGTTGTTTTGTGATGCTAACAATGTTCACATAAGATGTCAGTGTTCAGAAGGACTTCATAGATTAGATTTTAGGTACATTAAGCACCACTTACTTCTTTTCTCATGATATCAAAGACTGATACTGGCGAACTCCCCCCTCCTGTGTCATGCTTTGTGAAACCAGAGGAGACAAAACGCTGAGGCTGCATTAATGGTTGCCTCATACCTCTCAAAGTCAAAGCAGCTGTATTTTCACCACAAATCTCTCAACAGGACTAACATCTGTGAAACGTCACAGCTAATATCTGACTACAATCTCAGTTTCATTAACTACTGACTATGGATTAATTAACTTATTTCAGTTGTATCTAGGAAATGTTTATATATTTATTCAATTAAAAATGTCTGTGTAATATGTAAAATATCTTTAATTTGTTTGTTTGTTTGTTTTTACATTTTTAAAAAATGTTCCTATCAGTCACAGCTTGTTTATGCTAATTAGCACATGTTAGCATGCTAACATCCCAAACTACGATATTTAAAGTGAAAAACATCACACCAGTTTATCATCAACTTGAGTAGGCCTATGTTAGCATGCTGATGTTAGCATTTAGCTCAAAGCACTAAGCAAATAGACTGTTTAAAGCCCCTCCAGCCAGTTTTAACTGCTGTTTTTGGTGAACGTTCTTTCTCACACAGAGAATGGGGGTGTGGTTAATATACAACACCACATGCACAAATGTGATAATGAAAATGAAAAGCACACTAAACCAAGAGGAGGAAACTAAAAAATAAAATGAAGACCCTCTGTTAGCTAACTTTCTGTAATAACTATGCTAGCTAGGCAAACTACAACTTAGTTAACTTAGCTAACTAAACTAGAAAGACAAACTGACAATCAGACACAGAGAGACATACCTACTGTAAGTTCTAAGTAAATTATGTGATAAATTGGTTAGCTAGCTCACAACGATGTTTATCGGTTTGATGCTCTGACTTAACGAGGCGTTGAATTACTATAGTCATACGTCAAACCCCGTTTTAACAACTAAGCAATTTTAGCAACTTTGAGCACAGAATTAAGATATTTGGCAAAAAATATTTGGCAAACTATGAGGGTAATCAACATTGTAAGGAAATGAGAAAAATATGAAATATCATAGAAATCAAAGAAGTCAAAATACACTGGAGGGGGGCTTTATGCACAGCCTCACAGAGCTACTAGCACAGCTGTAGCCTCTTACCAGACCACTGCAGCCCGCAGCAGATGACTCCAGCAACAACGTCAAAGGAAAACACAGCTGTAAGATTTTCATACCTCTATTTTGTCTTTACATTCAGAGTAATGTTGAAACTCTTTAATCTTAAATCAAGAGACAGCTTGTGTGTGTACTGTATATACACTGTATATATTCACTTTCCAAGCTTTAAAAAATCGTGCAGAAACTACCTGCCTTGAAATACCAATGGATGTCCTGTAATTTTTAGCTGAAGTCGTGACTGTTGTCTGTCCTCTGAATGAAGTTCACAGTGTCCCACATCACTGAATTGGAGATTAATAAACTGCTCTTGATGATGACCCGAGACATTGTACCACTGACATGATGATGATGATGATGTAGAGGACATCTGATGACTCATGCTGGCAAACAACAGATGTCCTGTAGGCCTCCGTGTGCACTATTTGCCAGCCAGAGGTGACATTTTCCTCACTGACTATAGTCACACCTTTAAATCACAGCGCTGACAGTCAAACGAAAGCAGACCAGCAGCTGCAGTATCATCCCCAAGTGAATACTGGTATGTTTTATGGGGGAGTTCCATCTTGTAAAGATGAATGTACTCATGCACATTTGTGCACACACTCCCAGATGTAGCGATTACTCAGAGCATGGGAGTATCACCAGTTGAGGTTAACAATTGTACGTATATGCTACATCTGAATTTTGAGGTATTTTTTCCATCTTGCACTTGCTATCACTGAGCGTAATTAAAAACAGGATTATACTTGAGTCTTTGCAGATCAATAGCGTTGTCATTTACAATAACGTCCAACAACAATGTTAGAATATGACTGAGTATGACACAAAAATGCACAAACATCCTGCCATGCCTAACTGCTGATTCCACTATCTGACCTTTAGATGAAGTGAAGTGATCTGGTTCCTGTTAGCGGTGTATCCTCCACTGCACAGTGCAGATGTGCAGTGAGGCCTTCAAGGAACTCTGACACCCCCGCCTCAGTGCCCTACTTCCATCTACTTAGACTGGAAAAAAACTCAGATGACCAAGTTTTCTGGAAACAACAACATATTTCAATTGCAATATGACTTTATCCAATTGCAATACTCCCTCCTGTACTCCACCCCTGTCCTATTTTATTTGACTGTTTGGCCAGTAGTTAAGGTCAAAGGGAAGAGGTATCGTGAGAGCAGATAGAGAGGTAGGCAGCTGTGAGTGGACTCATGTGTTCTGTAGTGTTATGAGATTTAAAAACTAACTCGCGATAAGCAGAGGGAGAAACATGATAGCTTCGGGTTGGGAATTGCGAAAAGGGTGATGTTGACCTCTTCCTGACCCCACCTTGAGACAACTGTCTGAGTCAAACCATCAGTCACTCTCAGTACTCGTCTACCTCTAATGCCTCTTGACCTCTTCACAAATTCCTTGAAGGTTCATCAACAGTTTATGCGAGGTCAGCATGATGTTTTAAAGCCTATTGCATTGATTATTGTTATGTCTCCACAGATTGTTGATACATTTTTAACTAAAAAAAAGTTTCTCTTTACAAACAGTACTTACGTAGTATCATTCCTCAAACTGCAGGAAACTAAAGCACCACACTATGTTAAATAGAATCAAGATTTGCCAATAGGGAACATGAGTCAACACATTAAAAATGTGTCAATTCAAATGACTTAACTACTTTTAATCTGCAAAATCACAAATATTTTTTGGACACTTGGGGACATCCAGAAATTATAGAGCAACATTATCACTCATTCAGAGTCATGTTTCTGGCCACCTGATAAATTTAAGCCTTCACCAACTCCTGAAGGAAAACCCTGTCTCTTTAGCTGCTAATGCTCCACTTTTATTCACCAGCTAGTTGCTAACTGTGTCTGTCTGTTGTTTGGTGCTGATCGGGTAAATCTTTTGCAATAATACAGCTGCCTGTTGTGGCCAAAAACAATGCTATGACAGCTAAACGATAAGCTGAAATTCATAAAGCTCCATAAAGCCTGGGGGACTGCATTTTTAGTTGAGTAGGTCTGTCATTAAAAGCGACTACTTTCACATTGTCCTTTGATAAATTGTTATTGTTGAAATATTGATTTTGCAAAACATACAAGTTTGGTGAGAGATGCTTTTGGAGCTTTTTTTATGTGATGGTGCTTTGAAAACTTGCAATTCAAAATGCTAACCTCATGCTAATTGTCAGAAGGTGATCTTTACAATCATTCATTCGTAATTCTGATGTAGTGACTTCAACATCTGTTGTCATGTGGTGTTTCCATTATTTTGTCCAATGTAACTGTGTCACCAATTTTAGAGACCTGTGAGGTGAAGACTGACCAAAAACCAAGTTGTTGTTTTTCTTCATCCCATGAAGGAAAAAATTCTCTTCTTTGTCCCTCCTTTCCATGGCAACTCAGGTCAGCAAGTACAGTGTCACCCTGGAGCTGCTAAGGAGCCAGCGTCTTGCTCAGAGGCACTCCAGCAGGTGAATGCTTGCTGCCTCAGGGAGTCCAGTTGCGACAAAACATACACATTGCAGCTCCCTACAGTTGCACCATCAGTCAAAACAGACTGAGACATTTCTTACTGAGGACAAGGGGCTCTGTTTGGTATGTGTTTCAAGGGTGGGCTATATTTGAATGTGTTTCTCTACCACAAATTACCATGTCAGGGAAATGGTGCAAGCTACTGCAAGTTTGGTAAAAATATTTGGAGATTGCCATCTGTATCTTCACTGCATTCCCTGTACTGTATAATTAGTGGCTGTCATGGGCAGATCGGTGAGCTCTGTCACCAACACGATGCACACTCCCACTGTCCAACTTATACAGCTACTTTTTTTATAACAGAACCAACTTCCAACACTGACTATGCCACAGGTTCCCAACATTTTTAGGCAAGGCTTTATAGCCAAGCAATGCCCAATTTTGACCCTTCATCATAGGTTGCACATGTCTTTTGTTTCATTGTAGTAGCATTTAGAATCCTGACAAGATACAACTCCAGTATTTAATCAGAAAAGAGCAAATATTTAGGAAAAGTCAGAAAGAATAAACATAAGTAATGTCTTTCCCCCTACTATATCTTTTTAAAAATCTTGTGACCCCTCAGATTTATATAGAAATGCTTTGAAGGATCTTGACCACTGGACTATGTAGCAGCACTTATAGTAAAAATAGTTATGTAAACATATAATTCAACTTACATGTTTAAAAAATGCACTTAAAACATGTATTGGCTTGAGATAGTCAACATGTATCCATCTCTGTTAATCATTAGTATATTTGCCGAAATGCTGAAAAACATATGTTCTTTTCGTAACGAGTAAATAATGAGCCAAATTACGTGTCAATATCAAAGCCGTTACACAAGATATCAAATGGCAATTTTGAGTGTCTCAACCAAAGTCTCAAGTTGCAAAGAGGTTTTATAGCTCCTCTTAAGAGATATTTAGTTTTTTGGATTTGTGAGGGGAAGGATTACATTTGTCAAGCTCAGAAACCAAAGATCTTAACTCTTGAGTCCAATTCTCTGAATATGGATGGAAAAATATGCTGTTTTTGTTATCGTAGTAATTCAGTGCAGAACTTCACTGAACCATATAAGGTAAAATCTGCTATTTTTGTGCACTAAAACATCTGAACAGTGTGTTCATGCCCGTCTCATATTGTTGTTTCTCATCTACCAACCTGCATCATGTGTGCCTTTATAGCTGTTGACAATACTATGCCGGCATCACAGAGAAATATCTTGCATGCAGAGATTGTGTTGCAGCTTCTAGACAGCTGCTGTGTCAGGGTGATGAAACAAAGCACGTTTGAATTCTCCTTTTCACCTGTGAATGGATAATAGGGGAGAGGGGTGCCCCTCGAAATTTACCATTATGCAACATTCTTGTAAAGTTCTTTTCCTTCCCCTCAGTAAACGTTCTCTACATGATAGTAGTTACAGGCTGTACCTCAAAGGACGTGTAAAAGATTACACCACCTGTCACCACCTGTCATTTTAATAACTAGCCTTTGTAAGCCTGGGGCAAAGGCCAGTCTTATGCTCGGAGTCTTTTCTGTTTAAACAGGTGTGACATGGTAATAAGGCTGCCACGGGGATCCTGGTTTGATTTCTATTACAACCTCTACAGGGCTCACTGCACCATCCACAGCACTGAAAAGAATAATTGTAAACA